TTGTGGCCAGCTCAGCCTACCCTGGGGACGGGGCTGGCAAAACATGTGGTGCTGGGATTGAACTGCAGTCCCTGGGTTTGCCTAAGCAGGTGTGTTAAACTGCTGAGCTGTCTCGCTGCCCCCCCAACTTTATATTTCATCTTTTTTTTTTTTTTTTTGGTTGTACCAGGGATTGAACTCAGGACCTTGCACACTTGCCAGGCAAGTACTTATTCCACTGAGCTATCTCCCCAGCCCCTATATTTCATCTTATATACATTGTTCTTTTACATATATTTTATCTTTAAATGCTTATATACATATATAAATATACCCATATACTGGAGTACATGTATACCAATACTTTTCTGTATATTCTGTAAGCTTTCAAAAGCACTACAGGTGTCCTTCAGTATCTTTACCATCTCTTTTACTATGTAGATTGAAATTTTCATATATTCTAATTTCCCTTATTTTTCCTTTGTGATTTTTGAGTTTACTAAGACGATTTACTCTCTGTGAGCCTAGGACCTTCGCACTGAACTATGGCCCAGCCCATCCGGATTTTTTTGTTTTGTTTTTGGTGTTTTGAGACAGGCTCTTGCCACGTAGTCCAGGATGGTCTTGAACACACTTTGTAGCCCAGGCCAGCCTTAAAGTTCTCTCGCTCCTCTTGCCTCAGCCTGCCAAGTGCTCAGATTAAGGCATGCACAAGCACATCTGCCCCTGTCCAGTTTTTATTTTGGGGCAGGATCTCTGCTCAGCCTTCCCGAGTGCTGGAGCTCCAGGCCTGTGCCACAGGCTCAACTAATAAAAGGCCCATTAGTGCAATCCCTGTATTTCATCCTGGCTCATGTCTAATTCCACATTTAAATAGCTCATCTAAAGGCCGGCCAAATAGCTCATAGCTCAGCGGATTAAAGTGCCTGTAAGTAGGCGCAGGGTCTGGGGGTTCATTCCCTGGGCCTGCCGTGCTGGCCGCACCCCTGGGACACATTGAGATGGCAGTTGAGACTGGGCATGGTGGCGCAAGCCTGTAATCCCAGGTCTTGCGAGGCTGTAAACAGGTAGATCACTACGAATCTGGTCTAATAGTGAGACTCTGAACACCCTGCAGACCCTTCTTTAAAATAAAAATAAATAGTTCCTCTAACCTCATGCAGTTTTTGTGGTTTTTTTTTAATGTTGTGAGGTAGAGGTTTGTCTATTTTTCAAATGTGTTTTTCCAAAAAAATAAAAAAAATAATGGGACTGGGGAAATGGCTCAGTGGAATAAGCGCTTCCCTGGGAAGCACAAGCAAGGGTCTGAGTTCAATCATCCCCAGTTCTGAGAAAAAAAAAAAAAGAAGAAGAAGAAGAAGTACTCTTGGGCCC